GGGTCCCCCTGGAGGGAGGCATTGTCCTGCAACTTGCTTTGCTGTCCTGGGGTCCCTCCAGGTACCCACCTGATGTTATCTGTCTGGAGGCCGTGTCCCCGTTTTCAGATTGGGGCTGTCAGTGTTGTACTGAGAATTTTCCTCTTCCCCAGAAGCCGAGAAGAACAAAGCAGTCAGAGGAAATTCCCCACTGCAGCCGTGGAGGGGGGGAGTCCCCCCCCACCTCCCCACCCCGCCTGCGAGAGAGACTTCCTTCGAACAGGGACCCTCTGTTGTTGTGGTTCAGAGCTTCGACTTGAGAAGCATAGTTTCCCAATGATGCCACTGGATTCCTGACGTGTGACACCCCAGGGCGGCCTGGTGAAGGCCGCCGTTGACTGCCCTGGGCCCCTGGACAGGGACAGCATTGTGAGTCACACTCGGTGTGTGAGCTCCCCTGCCCATGACTGGCACTATTATTAGTACCATTCTCCGCTCCTGGGACAAAGGTCACTGGGATCAGAGTCCGGTTGGGTGGGTGGAGGGGGCTGGGCCCAGGGCCGAGAGGAGGTGTGAGTGGAATGGAGGCAAGGAGAAGGCTTTTCCCCATGAAGATGCGTCGGAGGGAAGGAGGCAGGGATGGAGCCCGGGCCCCGCAGATTTGGGCAGACTGATGCCAAGCGATCCAGAAACAGCCCCTGCGAGAGCTCAGATTGAGCGGGCCAACCTCAGCCGGCATGTGGGCAAGTCTGGGGCTTGAGAACTTCCCTTGGGCCTGGACTTGGGTGCTGCCATCAGGTCAGAGTCACCAGTGACCCCAGAGTCAGCTCTGGGAGTGGGCCACCCTGAGAGGTCCTGATCTTCCCTCCCAGACCCAAGGGGAGGATGGATACATTGTCATGGAAACAGGCTCCAGCGTGGGGCTCTCCACTGGTCCAGCCTGGGGACCAGCCACCCCGACGCCCATATTCCGGACTGTCTGGCGGGGAAAAGAAGCCCATGTCTGTCCTATCTCTGATGCCCGCACAACCTAAAAGAGGGTTGGGGTGTCAGCAGAAATGTATGAGAGAAATGTATAAGAATTTCTGGGAGGCATCATGGATCCCTTTTATTCGGGGTCACAACGCGGGCTTTCTGAAAGGTTAGCAGCAGCTTCCAGAATGCCCCGGTGGGAGCGCCCTGCGTGCCATTGGCGGGGGTAGGCTGGCGGGATCTCTCCTCAAGAATAAGGGAAGGAAACTCGCCCTGACATCACTGCTGCTATGACTTCGCTCTTGTGCAGCCCTGCAGACACGTCCCTCCCTGCCTCCCCATCCTGCGCCCTGTCCTTTCTCTTGGCATCTGGTTTTCCTATTTACCCTCCCTCTTCCCTTCAGTAAATAGGACAAAAAAAGAGGCGCCACACCTAGGACTTGGGCTCCCAGTTCCCGAATTTCAGTTTTGTGTTCCTTATGAACAAAGGACAACGCACATGGAGGGGGAAAAAACACCCATGTGCAAGGACTCACTCCGCCCCGGCCACATCCACAGACCCCAGGGATCAGATGTACACGGACAACGGGGTGTGGCTCTGAAGTGGGAGCAGGAGTGGCGGGAGTAGTTCTATCTGACATCCCTTCCTTGTGAGCTGGTCCCTGTGACGCTAATCCAAGCCCCGTCCCCACTCCATGGCTGCACATCTGAAGGGTGGGGGCCAGAGGTGGCTCTTGGACCCCCCTCCCCGGGAATCCGGATGTGCGTGCTTCTCCCTGCCACTGACCACAACTTCCCAGGGAAAAGAATCCCCATAATTCTTCCTCTTTACTCAACCTGGTATAATTAGACCTCTTATCCCTAAAGGGATTTTAAGACAAGTGGTATGAAAGAGGGCTTCCCCCATAGGCTCAGCAGTGAAAAATCCGCCTGCCAATGCAGGAGATGCAGGAGACTCAGGTTTGAGCCCTGGGCTGGGAAGAGTCCCTGGAGAAGGAAATGGCAGCCCACTCCAGTATTCTCATCTGAAAAATCCCATGGACAGGGGAGCCTTCATGGGGTCTCAAAGAGTTGGACACGACCGAGTGCGCGCATGTGCGTACACACACACACACACACACACACACACACACACACACACAATATGAGAGAGGTTTGAAGACAACTAGTGGGGGTGAGAAGTAATGAAATTACATGGCCTAATGGTGTCCATGAGGGGTTCAGATGGAGCTGGAAGTGTCACCTGCGTAGGGGACACCAAGGTCCCCAGTGGTCAGACTGACAGGGGAACCACTGGCCATCCGGTGTCCTGGACTGCTTGCTGTGAGCCATGGGGAAGAGATGTTTTTCACTTGCAAGGTCCTTTTACCCCCAGGACCATTGCAGCCAGCGGGCAGGTTAGATGCCAGCTCTGGGTTGGACTTCCCTGGGGGCTTTGGAGTGTTGAGATGGAGATTTACGGGGTCAGGCTGCCTGGGTTCTAGTCGTACCACTTCTGACCTGCACAACCTTGGACAGGACACACAGTGGGTCAGTTTTCTCTGCTGTACAGTGGGAGAAACAAATGTGATAACAGTAGTATCTACTCATGGATTTATTGTGAGGGATAAATATTGGGTTGGTCAGAAAGATCATTCGGATTTTTCCATATGATGTTACGGAAAAACCCGAATGAACATTTTGGCGAACTCAATAAGATGCTCTAAAACATGACATATTACTGTGGTACATAGTAGGTGGACCATAAATCCTAGCTCCTGTTCCTGCTTTCCTTTACCAGGTGTCTGAAAGCAGACCTCTCTCCACCATGTCTATGGTCTGTGGTCTTGACCCAAGAGATGACCATGAACTCCCTGGCTTATTTTCATAATTTTGGGAACGTTGATTTTTCCTTTCATGTCTCATTTCAGTGGTTCAGTGGGTATCTGTTCTACACTTCTCCAGGATACCTATTATGCCACAAGGGCTATTGTAACTAATTCTATAGCATTTCTTAATAGAAATTTGTTTTCCTCCTGCCCATCCGGATGGCTTCTCAATGGATTCCTCATAGGAAGTCACGACAGGACATTCTTCCTGGCAGAGGGTTGTAGCCGGTGACTACTTGGCTGCCAAGGAAACTGCAAATGTGTCTGAGCTGTCTAGAAAATGTGGTTTTTTTTTTTTTTTCATTGGAGTAGAAACAGAGAAGGGGGTAAGGCTTTACCAGTGTCATTCCTGGGACTGTTTCTTCAAATGTTAATATACTTTGCAGGCATTGGCTGAATTATTTAATTCTAGAGTATATGTAAGGTATTTCTTGCAAGATGGTTTTAAAGTACTCAGGGGGGGGTGGGGAGGGGGGATCGGGATGGGGAATACATGTATATCCATGGCTGATTCATGTCAATGTATGACAAAAACCACTACAATATTGTAATTAGCCTCCAACTAATAAAAAAATAAAAATAAAAAAAAAGATACTGAAAAGAAAAAAAGTACTCAGGGTTCATAGAAGGGTGAGGTAGAGGTATTTCATTTTCCTTGCTGAGCTTGGGCTGGGTTGAGGAGGGACCGCAGGGATGCTGTTATTATAGCCACGGCTTCCTTGGGGTGTCCCACCAGTGATGATGAGCAGCAGCCGCTGTTTGTTCATAGGCGTCCATCAAGATTACCCTGGGACCTGGAGTCAAGGTCCGGGGATTGGCCCACTGTTTTCTAACTGCCTAGACCAATGTCACATCAATTTTTTCTGAGCACCTTACTCTGCACTGATAGAATGGAGGCAGTCAGTCCAGTCTACCATGCCTATAAGGAGACTGGGGAGTTGGTTTTAGGAATAAGCAAAATGGTGAACGTGAAAATGTCTTGTAGGTGTGTCCAAGATACGACAAGAGATCGCCCTCCTAGATCATGAAGGGCATTTCTTTATTAGATCGAGAGGCAACGAAAGCTTGTTTCCTACTGCATCTCAGTTTACTTAGGATCAGACACATTTGAAACTCAGGTTAAGGATTAGAGCCTAACAAACTCAAGTTTTCTTATGTGAGTCAGAGCATGCCAGGCTTTGTCTACACGGACTGGGTCTCTCCAACTGCACTGTGTCCAGATTGCTTCTGAGATGGTGTTAATAAGGCCTATACATCTACACAGTGTAGACGTGTAACAAGCAGTGTGGACTGTTGAGCCCGTATCTGTCTCTGTAGCTACACCCATAAATCAGATAGGAATCTCCAGCATCATTTTCATTTCTGAATAGAAAACTATCCTAGAAGGAAATCTATGTAGCATAAACTCTTTTAGTGTAAGATAAACTGACAATCAGAGTATGTCAGGCCTTCCAGACTAATGTTGGCAGTGTTGATGACTAAGACGAGAATTGTGTGTGTGTGTGTGTGAGAGAGAGAATTAGAGTCTACTGAACCGTGGTGAATCTCTGAGACAGTGCTAACCTGACCTTTGAGGATTTCATAGCTGGCAAGTTAATTTCCTCCATTTCTTAGTTTGGATGCTTGCCTGTAGGCATCTTGGGGATTGTGGTAGAGAGGAATATTATGACCAAGAGAAATCTAATTTCTCTTCCCTTGTTAGATCACCCTAAGGTAATGATTCTTCTCGAAAACCAGGGACCAAAGGGTCCTTACTGAGGCTTTGCTTTGGGGCTTTGACTTCTGCTTGGAGCTGGCAAATACACTCCTTGGTTCATACCTTGAGTACTTTATAAGGCAAAAATAATGACTTTGTTTTTGAAGGCCAAACAGACCATGTTGCCTTAGAATATATCAAAGGAGAGATCCAGGATTTTCTTTCTAGAGTTTGCTTAGCCATAAAAAATGGACTGACTTTTAAATCGATCTAAATAAGGCAGTTGATACTCCATCCTAAAGGCGGTTTTGGTGGGAATTCTTCACCTTTTCCATCTGTTCCACAAGCTTCTGCAACTCCTGTGCTCTGGGTTGCCCTCTTTTTCCCCTGGCTGATGGGCTGGGAGGGGAGCGCCCTGTAATGGGATTTGCTGCTGAGCGTGTGGCTCATCTTGTGTAGTGATTCACCATGGCTTCTGTCCCCAGGCAGCGGACCGATCCAGCTGTGGCAGTTTCTTCTGGAATTACTCACAGATAAGTCCTGTCAGTCTTTCATCAGCTGGACAGGAGATGGCTGGGAATTCAAGCTTTCTGACCCAGATGAGGTAAGGAGGGAGGGACTTCAGAGTGTTGTGTCCAGGGAGGGTGAGAGCTCTGGGGATGGGTTGTATGGGGCTTGATGGTGTTTTCTAGGGTTCGAATCCCAGCTCTGCCACTTGCTACTTGGGGGACCTTCTCTGAGCCTTAGTTGCATCATTTGGAAAACAAAGAAAAGACCTATGTTGCCCGTTCATTTTTTGGCTTAACGGATAGGATGTGCCTACAGTGCCTGTCACATGTTAGGCCTTTTGTAAACACAAGTTGGGCTTTCCTGGTCTCTCAGTGGTAAAGTACCCACCTGCCAGTGCAGGATACTCGGGTTCAGCCCCTGGGTTGGGAAGATCCCCTGGAGAAGGAAATGGCGACCCACTCCAGCATTCTTGCCTAGAAAATGCTGTGGACAGAAGAATCTGGTGGGTTGCAGTCCATGGGGTCACAAAAGGAGTCAAACCCGACTTAGCGACTAAAGGACAAAAACGCAAGTTGCCTTCTGTGACTTTGTTCCCTTCTTGGTATTGTGGCATCTGACGGTTTGAGAGGCCTTCAAAGTTTGGTGCGATTCACTCATTATTTCGTTTTTTTCTTCAAAAAACAGTGACGGAGGGAGGAATACACTGAGCTTGAGATGAACATATACACATTGCAGGCGGATTCTTTATCACCTGAGCTATCAGCTAAGTTGGTAAAGAATCCGCCTGCAATGCAGGAGACCCTGGTTCGATCCCTGGGTCGGGAAGATCCGCTGGAGAAGGGATGGGCTACCTACTCCAGTATTCCTGGGCTTCCCTTGTGGCCCAACTGGTAAAGAATCTGCCGGTAATGTGGGAGACCTTGGTTTGATCCCTGGGTTGCGAAGATCCCCTGGAGAAGGGAAAAGATACCCACTCCGGTATTCTGGCCTGGAGAATTCCTTGGATATGTATAGTCCATGGGGTTGCAAAGAGTTGGCAACCAGTAAGGACCTACTATATAGCACAGGGAACTCTAGTCAGTATTCTGTGATAATCTATAAGGGGAAAAGATCTGAAAATATATGTATGTAGAAGTGAATCATAACCTGAAACTAACACAACACTGTAAATCAATTATACATCAATAAGAAAACAGAAACAAAAAAACAAATAGTGAGTGGTCGCTCTATGACATGCCCAAATTCGGAGGATGTACAGCAATGAATGAGAGAGAGACAGGCCCTCTGTTCCGGCTGAAGTGAGAAGCCCTGTGCCTCGGGAAAAAAAAAAGAAGATGCTTCCTGTTGAGGAAAGACAGGTGTGACTGTAACTCAGTCCTTCGACCCTCATATCAGATCTCATGCTTTCAAAGCAAAGACGTTCTGTTAATAATACGGGGTAAAAGGAGACTCTGTAGCATCTTCTATGAAAAAAGACTCTTTTTAAAATATTAAATGCTTTAACTCCCGTTCCATAGCGGTTCAGGGTCTCTGTGCTTTCATCAGCTTAAAGAATCCACTTCACTGCCAACCTGGGCTAGCCCTCAAAACTTGGAATTCAGAAGAGTAACTTCTTTGTCGATGAATCTCTAGCCATCTTTTGAGCATCATGGGTCATCACCAATGAGTGCAGGCATGTTAACATGTATCTTTGGCTTATTCTGGAAGTGTTCACCTCCTCTTCTTTTTTAAAAATTAAATTTCAGGTGGCCAGGAGATGGGGAAAAAGGAAAAACAAGCCTAAGATGAATTATGAGAAACTGAGCCGTGGTCTTCGCTACTATTATGACAAAAACATCATCCACAAGACAGCGGGTAAACGCTACGTGTACCGTTTTGTGTGTGACCTGCAAAGCCTGCTGGGGTACACGCCTGAGGAGCTCCATGCCATGCTGGATGTCAAGCCCGACGCCGACGAGTGATGGGCACTGAGGGGCCGGGGGAAACCCTGCTGAGACATTTCAGAGAACAACCATGTCGGTCGGACTCTTTAATTTTTTAATTGTTATTCTATTTTTAATTTTCCAGAACTCTTTTTTTTTTTTTTTACATTCAGGGGTGGGAGCTAAGTGAGCTGCAGCTATAATCCATTGTGCGCCGTTGGAGGAGAGCCAGGACTGGTGGGGTGGGTGGGACAAGAAATTCTGGAGCGGATTTTCAGGAGACAAGGGCCTTCTTAGAAGCTTGAAGAATCTGGCTTAAGGGAGGAAGAGACTAACACGTCCAGTCATTTATATTAAAAAAAAAATCATCCACAAAAAAAAATATGTCTTGAGTTATGGACCTATTAGCAAAAGAAATTGATGCACCAGGAGTCTTGAAACTAATGAAAGGCAATTAATTTCCTTTTGTCTTTAGGTCTGGGAGGGCAAAAAAGAGGGAGGTAGGATAGAGCCTTTTGTTTGCGGGTGCACTAAAAAATCACGGACTATTGACCTTTTTGTTCTACTTTCGAAACAAAGATGGATTTCAGTGGGGAGGGGCTGAAACTGTTTTTGTGTTAAAATTTATTCTATTAAATTTTGTGCCAGTATTTTTTTTTTCCTTAAAAATCGTCTTAAGCTCTAAGGTGGTCTCAGTATTGCGATAATCATGCAATTTTGTTTTTATTTGCCGACTGAGGATTCTGACACAGTGAAATGAAACTGTTTATATAGACCCCACTGGAAAGACAAAGCGCCATCACTGAGATTTGGGGATCCCAAGTTCATGTGACTGATGTGTTAAGGAAAAAAAATGATGCTAATTTGGGTACAAGGGAACTGTGCATGTGAGTTTCTCCTTTAATTTTTAAAAATTATGATCACACCCCTCTACTTATTTGTTATGAGTGTATTCTCAGAGTTTGGACTTAACATTGAGCTAAGAAGCATTAAGTCTTTGAACTGAATGTATTTTGCAGCCCTGCTTTGGACAATAGTAAATGTAGGAGCACTGTAGTAGTCTTATGAAAGAGGGAGTGAAGGGAGAAGATTGACCTGGTTCTCTACTGGTTTTTTAGACTTGTAACATACATGACTTGGAATAAAATCTGTATGCACGGGCATTACCCCTCAGGTCTTAGGAAATAAGTCCTGAATGCATGTCCTTCCCAACTAACACTCTGTAATTTGTCCTTTGTGTCGTATTTTTCCAGCATCCCACATTTATCACTTTTCCCCACTCTGTTGTTCAGTAGAAGGAAATGTACAGCTTTCTGATGGGTGAGTGAAAGAGTAGCCGCAGACAGGTCATGAGTTGGAGGGTGTCTGATAAAGCCATTTAGATGTCCTGGGTTTTAGAAGCCATGGAAACTGAGGGAGCCTAGGAATAAAATGTGGCTCGGCTGTCTTTGGGAAAAGTGCAAGGCTTTCCTTTGAAGGGTTTAAGGCAGCTGAGTTGGGTGTCAGGTGAGACTGGGTGGGCAGGCAAAGATGCACAGAGCAGATGCTATAAGGGCCCTGTGCTTGGATCTGTTATCCTGGCACAGGCTAAGGGAATGTTGGTAATCGCAAAGGAAGGAAGCTTGAAGGCATAGGAACTATAAGGAAAGGAGCTTGGGTGTAGCAATAAGGTGGTCCATGAGATTCAAATCTACTTTTACTTCTCCCAGAGTTGAACTACAAACATCATCCACCGAGGCCATTGTAAAGGGTCATCCGAAAATGGAGTTTGGGAGAGGGAACCAACATCTGACTACTAAGGAAAAGTGCCTAATACAATTAGAATCCCCTCTTCCTCAGCTCGACAGGTGCCGGATTGAAAAGGAGGGTGACAGAGGGATGGCTTTCAGCGAGGGAGGGCAAGAAACCTTCAGGACGGGCTTCTCGGGCTTGGCCCTTATTGGGCTCCAGCTGAGAAACTGGAAGTCTACTAACTACCTTCTAGCTTCAAGAAAGTGGATCGTTTTCTCCCAGGTCTTCTTGCAGACCCCGGATTATCAGGAACTTAACTCTGTGATTCACGCGCTTCCTCATACCGAGAAATCGGAGCATCCGCTTGGAAAGCAGAGGCAGCATTTCGCCCAGCTGTGTATTGTGATCTTCTTCCGGACGCAGGTGCCTTAATGAAGCTCTCGACATATTTTAGGAGCCGCTCAGGGAGTGTTAGGCGGAACTGTTTGGACTACATTGTTTTCTCTTAGATTATGTGATCTTTGTTGGGCACTGGCAAAGATGTGTGTGTGCGTGCCTGTGTGTGTCTGTGTGTGTTTGCAGACGTGCAGAACTGCAGCTGAGAGAATGCTGGGGCTTTCTCATGATGTCTTTCCACATTTCAGTGATGGGTGAGAGTAGAACCAAGGCCAGACCTCGGTCCTTGCTTCTTTGCCACCAGGCATATCACTTTCTCAGCTCAACAGCCCTTTCCTTTTAAATCGATGCTGAGACCCCCTCCCTGTGTATGTCTGACTCCTGCCATAATTCCCTAGCAGAGAAGACGTAAACAAGTGCCTCCTCATGCTCCTCAGCCGCTTGTTTGCTAAGATGCACCCCCCCTCCCCCATCCTGCTCTCTCTGCCCACCATTTTCAGTATTTGTAGATAGCGTGTTAGTTCAAACAGCTTTGTCAATCTGGCCAGATGCTTTTTTTTTCCCTCCTTCTGTCCAGAGACCATCCCAGGAAGAGTGGTGGGTGGTTTATACACTGGAAATGGAGCAGAATTGTTGGATTCTGCTTTAAAAAAATAAAAACACATGCTAACTTCAGAGGAAGGATGGGCAGATCTGGTTGAGTTGGGTGAAACTCTGTTTTCCTGGAGATGCATCTGTTAACCCGTGTTGGTTTGGGCTGTAGGGTTCAGAGTCACTTTGGTTCCCTTTCACTTTCAGGGGAGGGACTTCCCTACACAGAGCCCTGGTTTTGTGGCTATGGAGATTGGAGGTAACATTCAGAGATCAGATATGCTTTTCCTCACTTTGGAGCTGAACACTCTGGGTTTTAGAGCATTAACCTGCCTAATCTTCATGGTGAAAACGACACCTTCTCTATCCTAGTCATGCTGTGCATGCTGCTTTCTCTGTTGGGGTCTATATAAATGGGTTGAACTCTTATCTACATTCCAAAGAAGTTTCGAGGAACCATAAATATATGTATACATATACATATATAAAATATATATATTAAAATGAAATTTATCTCTATCAGGAATACTGCCTCAGTTATTGAACTTTTTTTTAGAATACTTTTTTTTTTAAGCTGAGAAGTATAGGGGTGAAAAAGATGTTATATTGTGTTTGACTATTTTCCAACTTGTATTTTCATATAATTTATATTTTTTAAGAGCTGAAAATTTAAAAGCAAGATGAAAAAAAAAAGGAAAAGCAGGTGCTTTTTAAAAAATCAGAACTGAGGTAGCTTAGAGATGTAGCGATGTAAGTGTCTGTGTGTTTTTTTTTAAATGCAAAAAAAAATTTCTTATGGGGGAGTTTTTTGTTCGTTTATTTTAGTAGCTGATGCTGGCACATCATTTTGCTGGAGAATTTTTTATATACTGTAGCCTGATTTCATATTGTATTTTAAACTGTGTGAGATTAAAAGCAAAGAAATTCATTCATAACGATGTGGGTTTGGCTCCATTCTTTTCTGTCTGGTTCATGTGTGAAAGCAGGACAAATTAGCCAATCAGAGACAGGCACAGGAAGGAATGCAACTTCATCTGATCTCACTAGCTCTGCACCATTTCAGATAAAGATTTCCTAATAAAGTGAGAACTAACATAGGAATATGGGGAAGTGTCATCTGACATCCCAGTTACTGAAGATGGAGTCATCCTTTGTGGAATGTCCCCGCCTCATCATACCACATTTTGATCGTGTCTGAGGACTAAGAGGCACAAGAAGAAACATCTTAATGACTCAACGGATAAGCATTTGATTTCAGCTAGGTAAAGTTCCTGATATTAACACAGGATGTTGAGCATCTTTGGTCCATGCTCGGGAACCGCACTCTTCTCCCTCCTTCTTACACTCATTTTGTCCTGTGCCGATTCAGACCCATCACATCCATCTTGGCCCCATCTCTTTTGGGGGGGGCTGAAAATAAGGAATGGTCACATCCAAGCCCTCAGCAGTCATAAATACAATCGTATTTATAGGTGCTTTGGGGAGAAGGGTAAGGAACACATGTTGCATGGTGCCTTTCCTCTTGTTGTTAGAACTGTAGAAGGTGGATGTTTTTAATTAACACCAGCATTCACAACATGAATCCCGACTCACAGCTGGAAAGAGAATTTTTGCTGAATTGGTCACAAAGAGAGCTCTGTTTTTGGAAAATTGGTTTCTTCCAGCCTGGAGCTTGAGGTTTCCTGAGTGCACATTAAACACTGACTGTGTGGTCCAGTGGTCAGGGAGCCCGACTGGCCGAGAGGAGGGCTCCAAGTCTACCTCCCAGTTAAGCCATCACCACTCACTGGGGGACTGTGGTGAGATGGCTGGAGGCCCTTATATTTTTTAGTCTTCATCTGCCAACCTGGGCAAAACCACAACTCCAGAGCCAACCTGAGGCCACATCTGAGCTCTTCTCCCCCTGAATCCACAGAATATAGAGACCAGGGCTTCGTCTCAGTCAGGGATCTGGTCAGAGAGCTTTCCATCACTGTCAAGATGCTGTTATTCATACAGAATATGTTATTTCATGCTGGCTAGGTTAAAAGATAACAGATACACTTGACTGAGCTTAGACCTCTGTTGCTCAAACTAAGAGTTAGCGTTTGGCTGGGGAATTCTCAGACACCTAGGTCTGAGACACCTTTGGTCATCTCGATGATCCTGCTGAGATCACCATATAGAAGCTGGGGTGATGGAGGAGGGACAGTATCTTCTAAAACTCCCTCCAGACTTGGGGTAACTGGGTTTGGATAGAACAGAAGGTGGTGCAGGGAAAAAAGGAATCGTTCAGAAACACCTGGTATTTTCACTTCTCACACCCTTCCCACTGTAGACATTGTATACTTATTTCACTGTCACGTTGATTTAGAATTGGCCCTATGATTAACTTTGACCTGTGAGTTGTTAGAAGAAATAATGCAGGCAAAGACTTGAATTGTGTTTGCCTGATAGCAGTGTGCCCTCTTGCACCTCTGCCCATGCAATGAGAAGATCGTGCCTCAATTTCCCCCTTGCTCCAGTGAGAATCAGAGGAGCACTGTCCATCTAACCCACCGTCCTGAGTTTGGAATCAAACTCCGCCTGGTTCAGCCTAGATCATTTCATCCCAAGCTGGCTGGGAGGCTTATAGTGAGTTTAAATGATTCTTTTAAACTTTCCCATTGTTAGAGTGGATATTATACAGCAAGAGCTGCCTGTAACAGGGTTAAACATGGCAGTCTCTGGGTTGCAATGCTTATTCATTTCTTACTTTCCTTTCACATTCTTTACAAATGTATTGTTTGCTTTTTTAATAAAGATAATTAAATAATAAACCATATATGAAAAATTTTTTTAAATGAAGCTGATGGTCAAACATCTACAGGTTTTGACAGGCTTTGGGCAGTTGTGGGATAGAGTAATTGCCCAAGGCTAGTCTAGCTCCACAGCACTATGACCTTGGAACAACCTACAGCACCCATGCCAAAAATAAATGAATACCTGGTGACCAAAATTGAGCAAAAGAGCTTACCCATATAATGAAGTGTAACTATTTTAACCTAAAGAAGTAAGAGGATTGTGAGTGAAACAAGCCAGGCAGTGGAAACTACAGAGCACACACAGGTTGTCTGTGGGCTGGGTCTATAACAGAGAGATGATCAGTATGTCCTTGACAGTGTCAGGACTCGCCTCTGAGCTCAAGTGTCTGGCAGTAAGACCATGGGGTTGTCTCGGAATCCTGCAGAGCAAACCCCCCTTGAACTGGCTGAGTGGAGGCTGCCCCTCCAAGATGCAAATGAATCTCCTGTCTTGTCTCCAGTGGCTCAGCCCCACATTACATTCCTGCCTCGTCCCTGTAGAATTTGAGTTTGCCAAGCCCTGTGACCATCTCTCCACCTCCCATGTGTTCTTGAAACTTAACGTTATTCTGGAAACCTACCGTGGAAGAGAGCACAAGAGGTCATCGAGTTCATCAGAACCATCTGCTTCTGAGCCCTTGTTGTTTCTGTGAAGCCGTGTTGCTACCAGGAACTCTGAAAGGTCCCTTTTGAGGCTGCTGCTGATGGCTCACCCTCCCTGGGAACCACAGCCCTGGTTACTAAGAGAGATGCTTCATACACCCAAAGGGGACAAGGACAGTCTTCTTTCAGTAAGGAAGCTTTTTCCAGTCCCACACCCTTTCCAAGCCTCGCTTCTCCCCAGTGCTTCTCTGGGCGGTGGTTTGTGGTGAAAATGCCAGTTGTACAGAAACCTTTCTGTAGCTCAGATGCAGGGCTTCTTGATCCTCCAAGGACTGGCCTGTGCCCTTTAATGGGTTTACTGCTCAGCATACCGCAGATTGTCTTCTGGTCCTTGAGATTCCTCCCAGTTAGGAGAACCCTGCCCAAAGAACAATGAGGAGCAGAAAAGGTCTTTTTAAGGCCCCTCTTGCAATGAGGCAGGGGTTTAAGAAAGTCTGATAAAAGCAGCTGTTGATTGATTAGTGAAAACGTTAAAAGGCTTGCAATGGAAGTGAAAATAAAACATTTCTTGGGAATTGAGAACTCCAGATTAGCTGAGGAGGGGGACTCTGGCCCCTCTGCCTCTTGGTCAATGCGATTTCCTGCTTTACTGAATGTTGCAGATCCTTTCTTTCTTTCTTTTTTTTTTTTTTTCCATTTTCCTGGAAAATATTTCTGTCCTGGGAAAGCCAATTTCATTTGATTGCCTGGTGTACCTCAATGTGCTGACGCTCAAGGTGATGACAGTGATGACCATCAGCCTGGAGCAGCCCTGGGGGCTCAGCAGTGGCCAACTCTCACCACCTGCTGGGCAATCCCCAAAACCTAGTCCTGCATCTCATCTCTCCTGCCATCCGGGTTCTAGTGGGCTCTCAGCCGTAGCATCTTTGAGAGCTGTGATGTCAGGTCAGCTCGGGTCCCTCCATGTGGCAGCGCGTGGAGAAACAAGGTTGTCAGCAGCCACTTATGGGACCTACAGCG